CTTCTCACCATATTCATGATGGTTTGATTCTTCCTTTCTGAAATTCCATTTTGTTGTGGAGTATAGGGTGGCACCACCTTATGCACAATCCCTTCCTTTTCACATAGTCTGTCGAAGTCTTTCGACACATATTCTCCACCACCATCAGTTCTCAAAACTTTGAGCTTTCGACCACTCTGTATTTCGACCATAGACTTAAACTTGGCAAATACTTCGATTACTTCACTTTTCTTCTTGATCAAATAAGTCCACATCTTTCGACTGAGATCATCTATGAATGTAACAAAGTACTTGTTACCTCCCATCGAAACCACTTGGATTTGTCCACATACATCAGAGTATATGACTTCAAGACTAGCCTTCGATCTACTTCCTGCATCCTTCCTGAAGCTATTCTTGTGTTGCTTCGCCTGCACACATTCCTCACATACCTCGTTTGGAATGTCGATTTCTGGTAATCCTGAAACCATATTTCTTCTCTTCAAATCTCTGATGTCTCTGAAGTTGAGATGACCTAGTCTATAATGCCATATCCATTCATCTCTGCTAGATGCAGTCGAAAGGCACTTGTGCTCCATCACATTTAGTTCAATCTTGAAGGTTCGATTCTGATACATATGAGCCTTCAAGATTAATCTCCCATTTGCATCAACAACTCTCATCATCTTATCTTCGATTTACACTTTATAATTCTTTTCGACCAACTGCCCTATACTAAGCAAATTGCTCTTCATGCCTAGTATGTACAACACATTGGAAATTACTGACCTCTTGCCATCTTTCCTCATAATCATAACATCACCAATACCTTTAACTGCTAGGGTATTGTCATTTGCAAATTTTACCATATTTTTCATTGAGGGTTTTATATTGACAAACCAATCTTTCCTTCCAGACATATGTGATGAACATCCTGAATCCAAGTACCATTGGTCCTTGAACTATCTTCATCTTTTGTTGTAACCATCAACATCATTTGTTCTTCTTCTTTTTCATCATGTTTTGCAAGTTTTGTATCACTTTCTTGATTCTTTCGTTTTTCTGGACAATCACTCGAATAGTGACCATACTTCTAACAATTGTAGCATTTAATGTGACTCTTATCAGGTTTTCGACCACCACCTCTTTCTCTATTTGCAACACCACCTCTTTTGTTGCCTTGTTATGTTCTTCTTTGATTCGACACGTCTCTTTCGATTTGGTTTTCTCTACCATTCGATTTGTTGTAGCCACCTCTACCTCTGTCGAAACACTTTCCTTTGCCTTTGGTTTCTTTTGCTGAATGTGCCTGCAAGGCCACATCACTTTTCAATTTGCCTGCAACTCTTTCATTCATTCTTTATTCACGAGATTCAAGCGTCCCTTAAAGCTCTTCCTTTGTCAATTTCGACAAGTCTTTCCCATCTTCTATCGCCACCACTATGTGGTCGAACTTAGGAGTTAAAGATCTCAAGATCTTCGAAGCGACAACTCTTGTTGTTGGCACTTCTCCACATATCTTGATTTGATTTACTAGTTTTGTAACTCTAGTGAACAAATCAGATATGCTTTCACTGTCTTCCATCTGAAGCAGTTCGTACGTCCTTTTGTGAGTTTGTAACCTCACTTCTTTCACCTTGTCAGCGTCTCCAAAAGACTTCTAAAGGATTTCCCAAGCTTCTTTTGCAGATTCTGAATCACTAACCTTTTCGAAATTGTCTGGACTGACACATTGATGAATTATAAATAATGCTTTATAACTCAGCTTCTCAGATTCTGTGTATTTCTTCTTTTCTTCTTCTGAAGCGTTTTCTCCAAGCGCTTCGACTCCATCTTTTACAAGATCTCAAAGACCTTGACACCTGAATAAGACTTTCATCTGTTTGCACAAATTCTCATAGTTGTCAACTTTCAGAATTGGTAGGGTTGCTGGATAATTTGCATTTCCATAACTTGTCATCGTGAATTCTTCAATCGTTCTGATTGATACTTCCCTTGAATCGAAACAAAGCTCTTGATACCAGGTGTTAGAAATCCACTAAAGTCTATGATGAATTTCTACCACAATGACAATTTAATTATGAGACAAACAATAAAGAAGACAAGACAAATAATTTCTGCAGAGTTTCTCTCTGCTCACAAACTTTGAAAACTTTGTTATTCACTTGCAACTGCAAATTCTGTGAATACAACTTGCTTGACTTGCTTTCAAAAATAGGAGTTACTCCCTCTATTTATAACTGAGCTTACACCCTAAGCCCAAAGCCCAAAATATCTTTTTGTTACTAAATCAAATCTAATTTATTATAGACTTAAATCAAATCTATTTAAATCTAAAACAAATCAAATATTTTCGACACATAATTTCGACACACTGAATTACAATTTAACAATTTCTAAAATTTATTGAAAAGTGAAAGGTCTTTTTGAATGAACAGAAGAGAAACTCAAAAGGTATTTTTTATTTTTCCAATGCCTCTCTCTGTCTCTTCATTTAAAAAGATTAGTTTGATTTACATTAGAATTTGTAGAAATTATTTATGGGATAAATAATTAATAGGTAACTACTCATTAGGAGTGTGTAATTCCGTAGGCTATGAAATAAGGTTGTTTAATTGTTTGAGTTAGGATACAAAAATGATTTTTCTAGTGTATTATTTTATTATATAATATATTAATATATTAATAGTAGATATCATGTCTCTTAAATATTTATAGGTGATTGATTTTTTTTTTAAATCACGCCAAAAGTATTATTTATGAATAATTGAGATGTACTACGATGTGAAATTTTTTATACTGTATATTAATTAATCTCATTTTTAAAAGATAATTGTAATTAGTTAAATTTTATATTGTTTAGTCTCGTTAAACCAACAGTTCAATAGAGACATCATATGCAAGATGTATAGGTGCAGGTTGAAATATGTGATATCTCACATGAACTTTGGCAAAATTCTATTCTTTTTGAGTATGATATTAGAGAAAAAAGAAAATGTATAATAGGATAAAATATTTTTACATTGTCAATCAATGAGAAATATGTATTACAATAAATCTCATTTTAATTTTTAAAATACTGTAATAACATGACAAATGTTAGTGTTTTGATTGGTTGCTTGTGTAAAATTATTTTACACTGATAATGCACTATCTTTAATATGATAATATTAAAAAAAAGTTGATAATTGTAATGAGATAAAAAAAAAAGGAAAAAAAGAATATATATACGTAATTTTACAATACAATGAGAGATATATCCCGCTAAATCACGTTTTTATTTTCAAAATACTTACGGAGATGTCGATGGAATATGATAGAATGGAGCGAAATAAAATGAAATAAAATTATATTTTATCATTTGGATTGATTAAAAAATGATGGAATGAAGCGGTATCAGATGGAATGCATTCCATCTCATTACATTACTTTTCCATCATTTTTTATACCTTCGAGTTGGACGAAATGACAAAATTACTCTATTTCATCATAACGTGCCCAAATAATATAATGACATTTTTATTCCATTTTGTTCTGTTCCGCTCTGTTCCACCCCGCTCCGCTTCCTTCCTCTCTGTTTTTTTACGTATCCAACGCTATGTTTGGATATAGTAAAACGAACGGAGCGGAATAGAGCAGAATAAAATGAAGATGTCATTCTATTATTATTTCATGACAGAATGGAGAGATTTTATCATTCTACCCAAACTGGAGATATAAAAAAATGATGGAAATTGATGGAATATTTCATCCATTTTTAGTCAATCCAAACAATGAAATATAAGTTTATACCATTCTGTTTCGTTTCATTTCACTTTCTTCCATCAATCTAAACATATCCTATATGACTTAACAAATTTAAAAGTTTTAATTGTTTATATGTGTAATATTGTTTTATACACTACCTTTAAATTATAAAAAACATTTAACAAAAATATATGAAAAATAATTAAAGTGAAAATTTTAAAAGATAAGAAGATAGAAAAAAAAGAGAATATTTTTTTCCACCCTATAGCGTAAAGAAATAGTCTATGCATTTTCTAAAATATTTCTTGAAAATCAAAAATATATTTTTGGTGCGCATCTACACATAATTCATTCGTTTTTGAAATTCGTCATATTTTACAATAAAATTTATTCCAAAAATACGCTTCCGAAAATTCTCGAAAATACAATTTCGATTATGATATGAATACTACATTTTCATAAACTATTGAAACTTTTGTGAAGCTAAAACCCGGTGATTTAAGAAAAATATTAACTTAATGATATCAAAATAACAATACCAATCCTGAACTAAATATCTACCAACAAGTAAATTAAGCATATACTTCACATTCACAATCCAGTTTTACTACTGAGAAATGTAGCTTAGCAAGCAAGAACTATAATAAATAATTGAAAATGTAGCACCAAAGAACTATAATAAATAATGGACTAACAATTTAAAGTTTGAACTCCATAATTGAATGCATTTCCAAAAATATATTATTAAAATAAATTTTATCGTAAAATAGGGTGAATCTAAAAAATAAATAAATTATATAGATATGAATGTACAGTGAAAATATATCTTTGATTTTTAGAAGTATTTTTGAAATTTCGTATGGTGCGGCGCTAAAAAATCTAAGGTAGAAAAATAAATTCAAAAAAAGAAAAATGTTAGAAAAATAAATTCAAAAAAAGAAAAATGTTATGCAAGAAAGTTTCAAAAAATGGAGTGGGCCCGTATTAAATGCCCATGAAGGCCCATTAAGTAAAAACAAAGCCCACAAACCCATCTAAAGATTGAAATTCAAAGATCACAAAACCAAAACCCTAAACCCTTCTATTCCACGCCTCCTCCATCTTAGGGTATTCTTTCTTCTGTTTTTCAACAAGGTTCGTTTCTTATCATAACAAATTCGTTGTTACGAACTCTGTTCCTGCATCTTCTTTCTCTTGCCACACTCTTTGCTAATATTGTTATTCAACTTTTTTCAACTTTTTTCCTGCAGTAACAAGTTTTCAGTGAATCCATCATGTATCTTCAGTTTTACATCAACGATAACGGTGACAAAGTCTACACTACAAAGGTAAACTTTATCCCAATTGAATCTTCATCAAAGTCTGTAATGTTTTTCCCATTATAATGATTGTTTATTTCATAACAAGTGACACTTTGTTTTGTTGTGATTCTCGTTTGCAGAAAGAGTCACCGGTTGGGTTAGCCACACAATCTGCTCATCCTGGTAATTTGTTATGATGCCATTCAATTTATGAGATTATAAGTGATTATAAAAGTGTTTTTCCCCTATTAATAAGTGATTATTTGTGTCATGGAAGATCTTTCAATAATACCTGGAACCGTTTAAATAGCTTGTTTATTTATCAGCTTTCTGGGTAAATTGATAGTTGAGTTGTGGCTTTGTTTTGTTATCATTGGCCATGACATGCCCTTTCACTTGTGGTGCTAATTTTCGACAAAAAGACTAAATTTCTAGATTAAGTTACGTCATTGACGTGTTACCTCTGAAGTAGCACCGACTCTTCTGAAAAGAGGTGTGTATGTGTCGGACACCGACACTTGTAATTATGTTTAATTTATTTTATTACCGGTCTTGCTTTGTTAGTGTCATGTTCGGGGTGGGCTTAGCTATTAAGGTTACATTGTGTTGGAAACTAAATCATATCTAATATCCTTCAAGAACGACAAGAAATTAGTATATGACTTCTCATTTACATTTGTCACTCTTATTTTGGGTTAAAAGTAAGGGTCCAAAGAAATTTTTCATAAAAGCTTCAAATGAAAATTTGGTTTGAATAGTTATTTTTAATATGTTATTTTAGGTGTTTTATTTTTTTTATTGAATCTTTTTTTGGATATTAAAATTTCAAAAAATCACTTAATTTTGAAGCTATTTCAAATAGATTTTCATAAGAATCATTTTTGAAATACAACTTTTTGAAAATGTTGCGATTTTGACTATGTTTTTGTCTTCAATAATATTTTTTGGTTCAAATTATCTATCTGTCACCATATTTCATAAGTGATTTTTCTTTTATTTTCCTTAAACTGCAGCCCGGTTTTCACCTGATGACAAATTTTCAAGGCAGAGAATTCTTTTGAAGAAGCGATTTGGACTGTTACCAACCCAGCATCCAGCTCGAAAATATTGATCAATATTCAAGCTTTAGCTATTACAATGATTCCTTCAGTGCTTACCAGTGTTGTGATCTATATAGCTAGTGTGAATTAGTTGAGCGATATATGCTTCTGTTTTGAACCAATTTAGTCAAAATCTTGCCCAAATGTTAAGACTTAAGTACTGAAGAATGAATTATTTTATATTGATGTTTGCAGTTTATATGCTATTATTAGAATTTCCTTTAAATTTACTGATATTCTACTTTTGCAAGCTTTCAAAACCATATCAAAATTATAAAGATAAAATCAGTTATTAAAAAAATCCTTATACAAAACGAATTGTAACATCTTTCCTATAAAAATCCTTAGCTTAGAAACTGAGAACCATGTAATGGGGAGTGGATTCTCTCTCACTTTATAGTCTAATGAGATCCAAGCCCTTGGAATTTTTATTCAAATTATAAAAAAGTGGAAATGATTGACTTTTAAGGGTTGGGATTTAAACTGGACTGAATCCAGTGAAAATTCCACTGGAGGCAATCCCCTCTCTATGTAATGTGTGTGCATCCGAAAAGTATTACAAAACAACTTAGTTATATAGATGAATGCTTGCAACTGATTTCAATACCTACTCATTGCTATATGGTATATCAGAGTTGCCTATTACATACATACTATGTAATATTCACAATTGATAAGGGTAACTCACTGTTCTATGTTGCTAGATATTAAGTTAAAATGAACAATATGATGTCGATCTTCTATGAATATAATATTTGGGAGTTTACTACTAGAATCTTTTAAAGCTTCAGAGTGGCTGGTAATCTCCAAATCTTAGGAACCACTTTTTCTTAGACAGAAACTCTTTGGGCAATCAACAAATGAATCCCTTCCTCAAACTCAACGTTTGTTCTAAATCCATAGAATTTCGAGATGTCCCCTTAAGAGATACGTACTCACTCTTAAGACCATCACTCACACACACTATAGATCTAAAATTTTCTAATGATGTACACCTACTACTGGAATTATTGCTACTATCCTTTCCTCTCATTAGCTTCATAAGTTTTCCGAAGATTTTTGACTTGTTTGTGGCGTTGCTGACTCGTGCATTGGATGAACTATTGCGAGGAGAAAACTCTTTACACTCACTGGGATCTGTTATATAAGAAGCGTGTGAAGAGGACCATATATGAGAATTCTAATCAGAAATGCTACCTCTTCCTTCAGCATTTGCATATTCAAGTATAAGTTGTTTAGCTTTATTCTCAGAAGCTGGACTTAAGCTTTTACTTAAGTCCCTTGCATCTGTTTTACCATGTTGGAGGTTGATAGTTTCTTAATTCATGTCTTAAACAAGCATTTATCAGCTTGCAGTTGCACAATTTCTTTCAACAATCCCTCGTTCTCTCGCCTCAGATGGTCCCTTTCTTCCCTAAGTGAATCTGCCTGCATCCAGAAAAAGAAGATGAAACTGAGTTTGACATATCATGAACGAGGGGCTGTTGTATGATAGATTTAACATATGTTATTTTAATCACTGCTAAAAATATAGTACATATGTACTTAGAAACCTCAAAGCTTCATACATAAAGCCACCAATTTTATACAATGATAATCAAAGTGATATACACATTGCAACTAGGGCTGTTTTTGGTCTGGACTGGTTCGGGTATTCAAGCTCTCGAGAGGTGGATAAAAACCCTAATCGGGTAAATCGAGACCGGACTATAGAAGTGATGGACTGTTTTTTTTCTTCTTTTTCATCCTGGTAATTTGTTAAACTCAGTTAGATTTATTGCCTTTATTTCTTATATGATGCCTTTCAATTTATGTGAGTAAATAAGGGATTATAAAGTGCTTTTCCCCTTATTGACTTTAATAGTCTCATTACATCAAGATAATCATAAAACCTTTCATTTGTGGTGCTAATTTTCGATAAAAGAATAAATTTCTAGATTAAGTTGCAGCAATATGTTTTACCTATGTAACATCGACACTTCTGAAAAGAGGAACACTGACACTTGTAATCACGTTTGATTTATTCATTATATCGACTTTACACAATCCGTCCCGTGCGAACGTACATGTCCTTTATTAGTATCAAAATTAAAAGATAAGCATGTATTTGGATTGACGATGGATAGAATTGATTCTTAGCAGAATTGAGTTTGGTAGAATTGATTCTTAGCAGAATTGAGTTTGGTAGAATTGATTTTATTATAATTGAGCTTAACAGATTGATTTATGTTTGAGTATATTTCTGTAAAAATGAGTTGAACAATAAATTTCAATGTAAAAATTATTCAGAATCAATTCTGTAAACAGAAGTTACAAATTCTAACTTCAAGTAGAATTAATTCTAGAGACAAAATCAATTCTATTTTTGCCTAATCAAACATCTCAAAATCACCCCGAATCAATTTTATCCTTTTAACCCTTACAAAAATCAAACCAAACATGCACAATGCACGAAGCCAATTGTAAAAATCCTTATAAAAAATACCTGTGCAAAATTAGTTCTGAAATTAAAATTTGTGACATTCTTTTCACCAAGAAGTTAGGATTGTAAAGTTAGGAAAACTAAACAATGAGACAGGTGTGACCTCTCACTATTCACAATGAAAGAGAAACAAACGAGGAATTAGATGGAGTGAGTAAGAATCAAGTGAATGAATGTTCTGAATAATTCGGTGAACTTCTCCTTGTTATGAAAAAGAGACTTATATTTGCATACACTAAAAACCATAACTCAAATTGATTTTTTTGAGTTCAATAATATTGTACATCTAGTAAGGTAGGCCACATTGATCAAAATTTTGTCACTGTTTTTTAAAAAGCTACTATCCAACTCAGAAAATCTCAAGCTGTAATTTTTCTGATGACTTTGTTTGATTACACTTAAATTAATCAACTCTCCTTCGTCCAAAATCCACTTGAGTCTTCATTGAACATGTTAAACGTACCTAAACTATTTTTTTTACTATCTTCTTTACTATCTTCTATATCATGGGTGTTACTCTAGCACTGTAATATTTTTATTTTTAATTTTGTATCTTACTCCACATATAACCTAACATTTTTATCTCAAGTACATTTATTCTATTTCGGAGAATTTAATTTGACACTCCCTTCAATTATATTTGACACCTTCTAAAATGTATGAAAAAGACTAAAATAATCCAACCAATTTTTTTTATAATTATTCAAAATTTCTAATACTTAACCGCAAATTTGAAATTTTTTGGGCGATACCAGAGATTTACAAAAGACACCAGAATTTTCACGAAACAACAAGAAACTTCTGGTATATTTTCACGGAAGTTTTGAAAATTTTCGATGTATTTGTACCGGAAATTTCAAAAATTTTGTTTCATTTTATATCAGAAATTTTGGAATATCTGATAGTTCAATTTTTATACCAGAAACTTTTAAATTTCAGACAGTTCAATATTTTTTTGAAAAATCCCGTAAATTTTGAAATTTTCAGTAGTTCATTTTTTTCTTCTAACCCCCATCTTTTCTTTATTTCAGTGAGGATCAACTGTTGTATCCCAAAATTTATCCTCCCACAATGTTTTAAAGCCCAGACCGGTGATCGACTCGGTAAAATTACTGGGTTACTGGTCGGACCAGTGGGTCACTGGTCAGACCGCATGACTTTTGACCCGATTTCTATAAAAAATATATTCATTACCTGAAATTTGTAACTATAATAATATAGAAAATTATAAATTCAAATAATTTAGAATAAACAAAAGTATTAGTAACAATCAAAATAAGTGATAGAAATTTAATGTAGCAAATTATAAATTCAAAGAAGTGATAGAAACTTAACAATTCATAAGTTATAGTATTATTAATAAGTCACAAAAATCCATACTCAACGATCCATAATTTTTTATGTCCATGAAGTCAAATTGTCATAATCTTGATATTCATATCCATCTTCAACTTCATTATCTTCTCCACCAACTTCATCTTCTCTGGTGTTGCTTTTTTCTTGATTCACAGCATCAACAATAGTATCTTGTGCATTACCCATATCTCCATCTTCATCCTCATCTAAATCTATTTGATCTATAACAATATTTTAAAAATAATTAACAAAATTTTTTTAGAGATGGTAAATATGTGACATTAAATTGATTCACAACCACAAACTATATTATGCTCATATTAGAACATACCAATATCACTTGAAATTGGTTGGATGGTCATATTTGCAAGGTCATTCCACAATGCTTCCAATTCTTCATTGGTTAAGAGAGGTGGTGAATCCTCTAATACCCAACTAGAACGGTCGGAAATTGTTTCAATATTGATAGGATCATAACTCCCATTTCTTATTTTCCTAAGCACACATGAATTAAATCTAAGTCTATGTATTTAAATATAAAAATATAATGATCAGAGAAAAATAACGATAATAATAACTATTTTGAAGTCTCAAGTTGTAACGAACAAACACTAAATTATTAAGCTTTTGGTGCTCCAATCTATTTCTTTTTTTGGAATGAATATGTTCAAATATACTCCAATTGCATTCACAACCCGAAGCACTACAAATTTGGCTTAAAATACGAATAACTAACCTTTGCAAAGTTGGTGTACAAGTGTCATAAGTTTCCCACCATTGATCTGTTTATACCATGTGATTAAATAAATTTATAAACATATTGAAATATAAAATAAAATATATATCAAGAGTTAGGAGTTATGAAATTACCTGCCCTCACAATACATCGTTCATCCACGGCTGATTTTCATCTAAAATCTAATTCACCGTCTTTGAATATTCTCATCTCATCTGTTAACTTCAATCGAAGTTCAGAATTTCCATTAACATGCTTTTCAATGACATCTAAAAGTCCTGATGTTGTGGATGCATGTTTTTCAAATTCTACATCATTATATCAACAAGCTGGATTCAACCAATAACCGACAGCATGAAGATTTTTGCGGAGCTGTGAATCCCAACGTTTATCTAAGATTTTCAAGTAAGGATCCACTTTCTTCTTATTTCTTTGAA